CCGGCACCCGCCAGATTTTCGACAATGTGCTCTACGCGCGCTTCCACGAGCCGATGCGGACCGTCCTCGTCATGCGGTCGATCCTCAAGGACGAGCTCTTTCCGATTGACGCGGCAACATGGACCGTCGACACGAAACAATGGTCATATTGTCGGCATGGCAATATAGGATGCTGACACTAACGATGGGTCTAGGATGGTGGCCGACAAGCTCGACGACGGCCACACGCTGTGCCGCACCTACTACTCCATCAAGCACCCGAGCACCGAGGCGGGCCACGTCCCGCTGCGAGAGCTCGCGACGTGTTTCTGCCATGCACCAACAAGCGACGCGGAAGCGGAGAAGATGCTGCGCGACCGCTTCCTCCTCGTCCAGCGAGTCGAGCGTGAAAGTTTGCCATGCATTTGGACGCGGTGCTTCGCGAGCAGGAGACGGCCGGCGTTGCGTCCGAAATGGTGGCCTAACAAACGACGATATTAGTACACCTTAGTACGTTCCTAGTTGTCGATCGTTGTGTGCGGTGGAGACACAGCAAGTGAAAAGGCATCCATTCAATTGATGAAATACTCGTGGGGCATAGTGCTATCTTTGCCGTCACCTGCGACGCCACATTGCATTTCTCTCGAGACAACAAAGGAAAGGGTTGCTGAAGCGATGCATCCAATGTGGCCTCTTGGTGGTGTAGCCGACAAAAGATACTTGGACCTACACCCTATTGCAGCAACGATCGGATAGCTCTACTATCGGATAATGCATCGTACTCTTAGCTCGTATGGATAGTATGTCGGTCGTTGCGAGAGCCAGCGCGGACCATGAAGAGCGGTTGAAGACGACGGACGTTTGAGCGAGTATCTTTTTCCCCTTCGAAATCGCACGCCGAGGCGCGGTGTCGAGTGTCGCGGCGAGTTAAAGGCCCAACGCCGCTGGTTTGGTCGCTCCGAGTACGTAGCGCTGTGAGGATAGTAGAGGCATGCTACGCCTTTCGAGCAAGTTGCCGCGAACTGGAAAGCGATGTGTCGTATGTGTCGGTGCCAGGACCTGGACGGGATCAGGTGGACTGGTGCAGGAGCTTGTCCTTGACGCGGCACGGGTGTCATCTATGTACGAGATTGATTCATTTTGGTGGCACGGTAAGCAGGCGTCGTATGTGTTGCATCAACGTCGTCGTAGAGTAAGCTTGTGGCGTTGGGTTGGGTTGTGCGGTCAACAGCGAAAGATCGAGCAGATGGCAGCCCTTTCGAAACCTGCTACTCGACGGACCAAAGAAGGTGATGGCGGCGGCACCGCGCACCGCGTGTCCCAACGCAAGTTCTTCAAGCGTGAAATCGATGTTCTTGTGGCGTCCATGGTGTTCCGATGCATATGATCGGATTTTGGGCACGTGTACAAGAATGTGCTTGCTCCGTAGACTTGCGATGGAGGGCCTTGGGCTCAGCAGCCATGGACGCGGGCTCGAACGTGTGCTCGAGACAGCCCTTCAAGTGCCATTCAGCACTAGGACAGGCGCATCGAGTGCGTCTTTGTTTCATCCTCCCATCGAGCATTTGAAAAATGTATCGGAATTTTACGTGTTTGTATTTTATTGGAGCGAGGCGAATACTACATGTGAATGAGTCGACGACGACCAGGAAGAGTAGATGGCAACAAAATGATTTATCGCTTGCTACTGCCGTGTAGTAATAGGATCCATGGAAGCAACATTCCCCGATCCACCACAAAAGTGCAATCTCAGAAAGGCCAATTGGCCGAGCTGGTCAAGCGATGGCCGTCGTCGTAGCCATGGGATACGGTATATGTATCTCCATCTTATTGCTATCTTAGTTCTCTCGTTGCATCGGTGCTCGCATTCGTGTAGAAGGTGTGATCGTCCGCTTCGACACGAGCCATTGGCTTTGTAGAGTAGCAGGATGCGCACCTGTTGAGCTTCGTGCGGCGCTACGCTGTACACGCCCATTGCCGAGGAAGCCGCTGCACCCACTTGGCCGAATCATAACAAAGCTACTTGCGTATCTAACCCCATGGTACCCAGTTATACCGACGTTTTACGTCGAGATTTGCATGTTATAATGCC